CAACTTGGCAGAATATTATCTCATGTCAAGGCCACATAAGCTTTTGCAAAGTGAAAGCTTGGTAGAAATGGGGGCTGGATTCTTCGGTGCTAAGCACTGCTCCATTTCCAACAGGCATGGCTGGCTGGCTGCGCATTTTGGCACTCAGACTGTCTTATAGGAGGGCCAAGGACTGATTGTGAAATGTAATGTTGCTGGACAGGAAAGGAGATTTACAGATGGGATCAAAGCCATCCTTAAAAACCGTGACATAGACAACGAGAACTGGGAAGCCCTGGCCCTTGAATGCTCTAGCTGGAGGTCAGATGTGACCAGCAGTGCTGTGGAATTCGAAGAGGGGCGAATGGAGGGCAAAAGACAGAAACATGCCAAGAGGAAGGCGCATCAAGCCAACCCCAACCAAGATCTGTTCAAGCTGTTTGCAATTTAAAACACAGATTTCAAAGTATACATGTATATTTAAAATGCCGTAGCTATGTGCTGGGTGTAATGTATTCCTGTGTGGAAAGAGTTAACTGAACCATCGAGGGAACGGCATTCCTAGAGAGGTCATAAATCAAGTGTGTAGAACAAATGGCTACAGCCTCATACAGTCACTCTGGAATGCAGGAGGTGTGGACTAGTACTGATAACAGTTGGAGAATTCACGATGTTACAATCGGACGGTAAAGAAGCAAGTTTACAATGTTCTGAGTGTTAAGTAGCTTCTAATGTATATAGCTGTAAAATAAAGTAGTTTATAGACTAGGTGGCTGTGATTGATCTGTTCCTGCCTTGCTGTGCTGCCAATGTCATTGACATTCGAAGAGGCACGAATGGAGGGCGAAAGAGAGAAATGTGCCAAGAGGAAGAAGGCGCATCAAGCCAACCTTGACTGGGACAGCCTTTCACCTGGAAACCGATGTCCTCACTACGAGAGAACAGCCCCCCACCACCAAGACACTTGGACCATCATCCTCGGGCTACGAGGGATTGTCTAAGTAAATAAGGAAGAGAATCCAGGCCAGCTAATGTGTCAGAATGGGCACCAAGTCACTCCCAAGCATCCAGAGAACACTGTCCAAGATGAGAGGGCAACTAGGCAGCTGTTCAAGAGGGGAAGTGCCACCCAGTTTTTCAGGGCAGGAGTGACATTGGGCAAATGGGTCTTCAGGTCCCCCTCCCATGTCAAATGTAACCAGATGCAGGCTCTCTTACCAGGCACGGGGTCCACGCAGGCAGGACCACACTCAATTCTGCAGCACTTCTTCCTGTCAGGGCATTGATAGTCCCTTGAGCAGCGGAAGAAACAAGGATCGATTTCTCCTGGTGGAGTTCTTGCAGGACACACTCCTGGTTTCACTGAGAAAGCAGATGGAGATGTGACAGAGGCTCAGAATCAGAGTCAACTGGAACGTCATGATCATAGTTCTGGAGGAGGGGTCTCATGGCTGCCTTCTGCTAGGACAAGGGGAGAAATGCTAACACCCCCCTCCAAACACTTTGGTAGCACCTGAGTTTTTGTGAAGCACAATAGAATAGTATAACTTTATTGTCAATGTACATTGTACAAGAAAATTAAATGGCTTCCACAGCACACACCACAAAACAACACAAACATCCCTCCACACTCCCACCACCATCACCACACAGCCCTCAATGCCACATCAACACAAAACCATGAAGTTCAACATAGCCACAGCTCTAGGATAAGAAACTATTCCATTTCAACATGAGGAAGAACTTCCTGACTGTGAGAGCTGTTCAGCAGTGGAACTCTCTGCCCCGGAGTGTGGTGAAGGCTCCTTCTTTGGAAGCTTTTAAACAGAGGCTGGATGGCCATCTGTCAGGGGTGCTTTGATTGCAATATTCCTGCTTCTTGGCAGAAGGGGGTTGGACTGGAAGGCCCATGAGGTCTCTTCCAACTCTATGATTCTATGATTCTATGACTCAGTTGTTGTAGGTTTTTCAGGCTATATGGCCATGCTCTAGAGGCATTCTCTCCTGACATTTCGCCTGCATCTATGGCAAGCATCCTCAGAGGTTGTGAGGTCCTCTCAGTCTCTCTCAGTCCCTCTCAGTCCCTCTCAGTCTATTTGCCCTTGCCTTTGTCACCCTGTACCATCTGCCAGATGGCAATAATTCAAAAAAAGAAGAATATCCTGGGTGAGATGGATCCCCAAGACTGCTCTGAGCTTTCTTAAGACTGCGGGACTTATAAGGTTCTTCCAAAGAGGGGAGAAAGAGGACAACCAACGATTCTCTGTGCATGAGTGCTGACCCTTGGGAGCGCCAATCAGGTGGAACAATTCTGCAGTTCTAGAGAGGATTGAGAAGGGCAGAGTCACCTTCAGCATCCAATGAAGTTTTGGGTGCCTTCAGGTACCTCCAGAGTAGGTGCCAAATGACTTGGTCTGAACACTTTATTGAAAACAATGAGGAAGTCAGAGAGCAGTCCCTCCATTCCCAGCTGGACAACAACAACCAAGCTGAGGCCGTGACATTGACCACCCCTCTTACCTAGCTAGTTCAACAGCATTTGCTGGTAGGCCCTATGCGTTACCAGGGTCCAAGAGGAGCTTGACCCAGGATCCAGTTGTGTCTCCTGCTCAGTCTGTGATGCAGTTGCTTTGAACTGGGAGCAGATGCCTTTCCTTGCCTCCTCCGAAGTACTCCTTTCCTTCTCAATGGGACTTGGGCTGGACATGCCTTGGAGCAGAGAATAGCCCCATGTGAAGTCATAGGGCCATCATCTGTTTCTTAAGAAGATATTTCACCTTCTGTAATTTCCCAATTTAACAGAGCTTTCATGGGACCCAAATCCATGGCTGTGCAATAATCTAGTCTCACTATAGCATTCACTCCAACAAACCCAAAGGGAGCCCTTCCTGGTCTTCGAAAGATGGGGAGAAGCAGTACCAATGGATAAAAAGATATAGCTGAAGAGGGATTCTTCCTCCAACACATCTCCTTCTAATCCACATGAGCCATAGGACCACCCTATTACCTTCTGCTCCTCACCTTCACCTGAACTGAGGTGGGACCTCTTGTCCCTTTTCTTGCCATGATTATGAGACCAGGTCCAGTTGAGAAGCAACATCTGGGTGAATTTCTATCTGAATTGGACTCAAATTCTTTCTCCAGTCCTGATGAAGCCCTATCATTCCCTGAAGGTTCGTGGCTTAAAGGTGTGATGATCCCCCCCCCCAATACTCTGCAGTTTAATAGCATGGGACACAAGGTTCATATTGATGTGGGAGCCCTCGTTCTTGACTTTCAACAAAGCAAGAGGAGATGACTACTTAAGATACAATCCTTGGTTGAATCAGAAGAAGGCTCCTTTCTTCTGCCCTTCTCCTTGTCAAACTCATTCAAATGAGGACTACTCCATTGCCTTCTTCCCCTCACTTCCTTCTGTACTACCTGAACTCATTCTGTCCTTCCAATGTCCACGTGAATAAGGTCCAAATGAGAAGCAACATCTGGATTAATGTCTATAGAATCCTAGAATCCTAGAGTTGGAAGAGACCTCCTGGGCCACCATCCAGTCCAACCCCATTCAGCCAAAGAGCAGGAATATTGCATTCAAAGCAACCCTGACAGATGGCCATCCAGCCTCTGTTTAAAAGCTTCCCAAAAAGGAGCCTCCACTACACTCCAGGGCAGAGAGTTCCACTGCTTAACAGTTCTCACAGTCAGGAAGTTCTTCCTAATGTTCAGATAGAATCTCCTTTCTTGTAGTTTGAAGCCATTGCTCCATTGTGTCCAAGTCTCCAAGGAAGCAGAAAACAAGCTTGCTCCCTCTTCCCTGTGGCTTCCTCTCACATATTTATACATGGCTATCATATTTCCTCTCATCCTTCTCTTCTTCAGGCTAAACATGCCCAGCTCCTTAAGCCGCTCCTCATAGGGCTTGTTCTCCAGACCCTTAATCATTTTAGTTGCCCTCCTCTGGACACATTCCAGCTTGTCAATATCTCCCTTATCTATATATCTCAATTAATGAATGCACTTTGACCCTACTTAAAGCATTATGTCTCAATGTTGTCGAATCCTGTGAGTTGTCATTTGGTGAGGCACCATTGCTCTCTGTCAGAAAAGGCTAAAGATCTTGTAAAACTACAGCTTCCTGGACTCCACAGCGTTAAGCTGTGGCAGTTAAAGTTATGCCAAGCCACATGTTTCCTCCTGTATCCAACAAATCCCCTCCTTCACCCACATTGGCCCATTGCCTTCTGCCCCATACTGCCTACCTGGGCAGGCCTGGAGACACTGCTTCTCAGTCCCAAATCTGTTCTCATTTCCATCACATCCACCGTAAATGAATTTTTCACACTTCCCTGAGGTTGCGTTGAAGAAGAAACTGGGCATGTAGGCTTCACATTTGCCTGGTTCAGGAGGAAGGAGGCAGAGATCTAGAAGAAGGAAGGAGAAACTCCTTATATAATTTGCCCATAACACTTGAATAGGCTGGATCAAATCGGTTTGGCTTGAAGACGTCAATAAAAAAGCCAACTTTAAACTTGGTGCTGAAATTATCCCAATGTTAGTATCAGAAGTTGCTTGGTGGGGAGTTGAATTCCAAAAAAAGAGATGGTCCCTTTTGTTAGATGGAGATCTGAAGAA